TCTCTCTCTCTCTCTCTCTCTCTCTCTCTCTCTCTCTCTCTCTCTCTAGCAGATAACGATCACCGGATGCGTTTTAACAGGAACCAGTTTAAAAACTGCGGCTTCGTCCAATTTCGCCTCGATAAAATCACATGGCGGGAAAATGTAGAGGTTACGTTGGCAGCAAAGGCAGAAATATTGGCTCCATGGGGTGATTTAGCCATGGAACCGAAGCACTTGAGCGTCATTCGCTCATTTGGCTTGAAACAATCGCATTTTTCGACACTAAAATCATATAAACTTGTGTAAATTGATACTACAAATCGATTTTTTGTCAAAAATTGGGTGGATATAGACCCATAGTAGGTCATTGTATGAGTGTTTTCTATGCCATAAGTGTGATTTTGTATCATTCTTTCATTCAATCGATTATTTTATGAAGAAATGTGAATTTTTGACCAAATTTGTAGGAAAATCGGTGTTCAAGTGTTCAGAGACCCATATTTTTTTGACGAAAAAATGGAAGTTGTCGAAGACAAAAATGTCGTAAGGGGCTTCTTTCGACCATTTTTTTCAACATCACTGATAAACCGTTATAAAAGGGTCGTTCTTGATACCAATCCACCAACTTATCAAAACGAAATATGTGGTTCAACTACACTGGTCCTCTATTAAAATCAGAAATTCATGTGTAGAATCGTTCATTTCAAAAGCTGTGAATGTTACTACAGTGTTATCTTCACATCAATTCATTTATTGATTTTCGAATGGACCCTTCTCGATAGATTCGAGTATGATTCCATTCAAATATGTATATCGATAGTCACACGATACGTACCTTCGTCCGACAGTTCGCTTTCAGAAGAATGATCCATTCTATACAAACGTAGTCTGTGGAACTCCTTCAGGAGCTCCTCGCCGTATTTTTTATAGTTGGTGTCAACTTGAACATTGGCTGCCGCTCGCCCCAAATCGCTGAGAAAGTTGTCAACATCTTGTCGTTGCTTTTCTACAGACGATGTACTACTTTCTAAATCCTCTGCATTTTGGCGTCGACTTCTGATTTTTGCTGGTTGCTTTAGTTACCGTTGAATCACTGGCTGAAGTCAGGCCTGATGGGCGTCGTCTTTTGATTTTTGCTGGTTGGTCAGCTACCGTTGAATCACTTGCTGATACCAAGTTTGTTGAGCGTCGTCTTTTGATTTTTGCTGGTTGGTCAGCTACCGTTGAATCACTGGCTGGTGTCAAGCCTGTTGAACCACTTGGTAATACGAAGCTTACACTTTTCGTTTTGTTTTTCACAGTCGATGCGTCGTTTTCGCCTGTCACCAATGAATCAAATTGCTCAAACAAATCGTCTTCGTCTGATAGATCTTCTTGTGTGCATTTGTAGCCTTTGCTGTATCTTCATATTGCCGGCTTTTTCTTCCATCTTCAAATGATCGATTAAGTCCATTTCCAATCGAGTCCATTGTCGCGACTTTTGAAAACCACTTCTGCCACCAAACGATACACACAACACACAATGCTGATCTTCCCTCTGATTGGAGAGAAAACAGTTAGAATTTTCTCAGAAGATTAATTTTGTTTAAAAATTTTCTTTTGAAAACACTCACCTGCAGTATTTCTGCAATGCCATCAATTTGTTGGAATCGAATGAATCGTTCGATTTTCAGTGGATCGTCAGATGTCCACTCATCGGCTATACTCCCATTTCCATGGATTAAATGCGTTTGAATGTCATAATTCACGTTCCTGTAATGCAATTTACCGTGCCATTTGGGTGATAAACTAATCAAATACATATACGGCACAGCTTCATTTTGTTGTTGTTGCCTCTCTGTATCAAGCGTGTTTTGCGACATTCTATGAAAAAAAAAAAAAAAAATAATCCTTACTTAATGCAAACACGATTGAAAACGGACATTTCTTCACTTTATTTCTGGTTCAAATTCATTTGATGTGAGTGGATACAACGACAAAACGTTTAAAATTCACTTACTTTTTTCAATTTGGTTATTTCTCGAGTAGTTTTCTTATTATTCGCTCAAATATCACCGAATTGTCGAATTTGTTCTTTTTTTTATGCTCTTCTTTATTTCCCACAAATGTTTCGTTTTTCTCAATTCAAACTATTTTTTTTAAGATTTCCAATGTCAAATAGACAATGCTAAACTATTGTGTATGACCAACGTGCATTTTGACCGAAAGAACGAACTAAAGCTGAACTTAGTGTGCGATATAAAAAAAAAACACACACACACACACAGAGAGAGGGAGAGAGAGAGAGAGAGAGAACGAGATTCTGAGCGAAGCGAAATGCGAGAGAGAGAAGAAAAGTGAGCAGTCACATCGTAGTACATTCAAACTCAAACCATCTCAAAAAAAAAAAATCAAAGTACATGAGAGAAAAGTGTAACGAATTCTCTGACTCATACATCATTACAAAAACACTCACAAAAAAAGTTGCCAAAATACTTTAGTTGTAAAAGTCTCCAAGTAAACCGAAAATCAAGAGATCATCTGAAAAAAAAACCGAAATCATTAAAAATAAAAATCATTCAGCAGAGAATGAGACCGAGAGAAAGAAAGACAGAGACAGAGAGGGAAAATCTGAGCATTTTTTATTGATTTTATGTCGCCTGTTTTGTATGCCATTATTTGGATGTCACTTTCGTTCTCGTTCTCGTTCGGTGCTGTAACGAGTTAATTGGGCGCACGCAGTATAGCACGAGAGAATAAGAACATTCGGAGAAAATAAAAATCGTCGCATTGATTCGAGTGGTTCGTGATTTGCTGTGCGATGTGTCGCATTATTTTTGCTTTGTGTGTACTTTTTTCCATAGTTTAAAACAAAACATCGTATTATGTTTATCTAAACACAAACCGAACGCATACCCATGCAGAGCACCACTAACACCCAAACAAACACACTTGGTTATACAGTACAAATCGAACGCATTCGATCGGACACTGCTGTTGTGTGTGTATATTGTTTATACCGTTTTCGGTTTGTGTTGCGTTCGCATTGACGGTTTTGAGCATAAACAAAAGTGGATATTCAGTTGTCAAACAATCGTCGCTAATCATGGACGGAGTGGTAATGAAAATTATTCAACAAATGCAATTTTATTTGATTTCGTTTTTTTTTCTCTCTTCGAGCAAATCGTATATTGAATTCTGTCCGTATATTTGCTTATTTAAACAGTTTTATCCATACGAATAGATGCATGTGCTTCATTCTTATTGAATTGAATGAAAAAAGTAATACTTCATGTTGAAACTTTTCAAACAAAAAAACGAAAGGCTGCAGCGACGGCGGCGGCTGTTGTACTGCTCCTGTACTTTGGCTACGGACCATTTCATGAAATCGCTATGACTTCTCAACGATACGATTAATAATACGATATTACATTAATCCCTGTTCAGTTTGTTGTTATCGGCGCTGTTTTCTATAAGCCCTCAAGTCCATTTTGTACGCTGTGTGTGTGTGTTTTCAATTCGATTCCATTATTTTCAACCTCGTAAATGAATTGCTATTAACAATGGTTTCAGTGCATATGCTAGATGTGAATCGCGGGCGCGCGCACTCCTCTCAATTTAAAAGAGCCAGTGAGCGAGCAAGCGAGCGAGCGAGTTTGTGTGTGTGTCGACTTGGAGCATGCGCGCATTTGCAATCAATTGCAAGTTGGTTGTTTGCATGGTGCAACATTCGTATGTTACTTTATGATTGGCCATTTCTTTTGGCATGGCTCTAGTTCAAATTTACCACGCTTTCGCTGCTATTATTAATGTTAGTTGGTCGTGTGGATGGAGAAATAAATGCACATTAAAAATTGTGCCTACGCCAAGCCAAAGAACTATAACAACAAATACAGCACAGCCACAGCACACCACGCAGTGCAGTGCAGCGCATTCAATAATCTCGGGCATTCATTTGCGTTTTGCCAAAGCCGAGGCTCAGCTCTGATCACGTTGGCCGCCGTCGACACATCGCCCGAGTGAAATGAACTGAAACAGGCATTTGAATCAGCAAATAATTACGGAGCAATAAGAACAATGAGCCAAGAGGCCCGCGTGCGCGCGCAAAACAGCCAAAGAAGTGTGCTCGCGCGAGCACACTCACCACACGAAACGAAAGAAGACAGAACGAATTGAAGAGAGAAGAAAAAAATCAGTACGAAAAGAAAATAAAATAATCGGCGAGGCGAAACCAAATAATATTCCTTGCGGTTTATTTTCATAATTTTTTTTGTCTTTTCTCTCATTTCTGTGTGTTACTCTCTTTGGTCTTGTTCTTTCGTCATTTTTGTTTCCATACAATTTCATCCCATTGTGTTTGGTAACATACAAAACAGCCCAATGCTTCGCATTCAACGTCTTTCGTTGCCAACAGGCAGTGAATTTTTCGCCGGGGACAAAGAAAGATTCGAATAATATAAATATGGAACGGATTACGATAAAATATGAACCGTTTCATACAGTAAGTGCGCAAAACTGACTGTGTGTGTGTGTATTTGTATGTGTACGGCGAGCTGGTGATCGAGAAACGCACCGAATCAACGAAATAAGTATGACTAAGTGCTGCAGTGCACATTTGAAAGCGGTGCACATGCACATACACAAAATCCAATCGCCGCAAAACAACTATCAAATTATTATTATTTACATTTTTTTTTCTTCTTCTTAGTTCTTTACTTCTCTTGTCGGAGGTTTTGGAAGTGCGGCAATTGCATTGCAATGCATAGCCTCAATGCTTTGGCGTTGGCATCTCGCCCGTGTTCTTGTCTTCATTTTCTGGTGCTGTCGTTTTAGCGTTTGTTTTGATTTTTTATTCTCATTTCATGTCGTTCTCGGTGAGTGGTGTTTGTTTCTCTTTCTCTTCTGGCTGTTGTTGCTATTTTTTTTCCTTTTTCGTTTCTAATACTTGAGATTCGGTTTGATCTCGTTGAACAATATTTATATGCTGCGTTCAGCTGCTACCTTTGCGAATAGTTCTGGTGCTTGATTTGCGTTGCGTTTGTTGTTACGTGATTCCTTTCTCCTTCACATCTTCTTGCTATCCACACAACATCAGCTTCTTCATGGTTGGACTCTTTCTTTTCGCGTGTCGCTACTCTGCCGTTCCTCTCAGATGATTCCCGGTTGTGTTTGTTGTTTTTTTCTCTCAAACGCAACGATCCCCTTGGCTCTGAAATTGTGTACTAACCGGCAGCAAGGCACATTGCGCTCTCCGCGAATATCAACGAAAGAGCACGAGCGCACAAACTAAACCATTCAGAACATGATCGCGCAACACATTGTCCATGCACTTAGCTCGATGAGGGCGAATAAGGGATAGAACAAGAGTGAGTGAGTTGGTAAGCGTACGAACGGGCGCGCGACCGACCGTGTCTGTTTACAATATAACACTAGTGAAAAGGAGACACACCAAACGAACGGTGGAGAGAGAATGAATGAACTCAAGACAGAGAGTGGGAGCGAGAGAGCGCACGACGACGACTACGACGGCGAGGAGAAGTAAGAACGACAGCGAATCGAAGAGAATTGAGAAGCATTGCTGAACACTTAATATACGGCACTGCTTAATCCAAAACATTGGCTCAAATCACTTGTGGTAAAACAGTTGGTTTGAATTGATACAGCGTTCAGTTTAACTTTAGTCTTTCGGTCGCTGGCACACCGTACACACGCACCTCCTGCACTCGATTTTTATTCGATTTTGTGGTTCTGAGCGCCGATTTCTTACGATAACCGCGATTTGTTTTCTACAACGTATCAATTGAATCGAATTATTAAAGTCAATGTTTCTTTGACTTGAAGAATGTTGTGGTTAAATGAGTGAAGCTATATACAACGGACAAGTGATTTGATTAAATTCTTCGGAACCGGCGCTAGTTGAACATTTTCTCAGTGATTAGAAGTGACATTACTTATTTTTGAGAGGAAATTTTTGGTGTTATTTAACGGTGGCAAAAAAAAGAAGATAAAGTGATAAACTTGCCGAATGTCCGATAAACAATCATGGTTCAATGGTTAGCAATTAAGTGGTGTTGTGTTGTCAGTGGATCACATGAAGTGCTTACACAAGGATGTGATTAGAGCTAGTGCTGTCGGTGTATTTAAAATATTGCGACGAATTAAACGACTTTTGCAAATGATGGCAGTGATAATGATAGTTGCGTTCATGACTTCGGTCTTATATCAGAATGTGAACGGTTTGAGGGATTTAGAGGTATGTATTTTTTAGTTCACGATGGCAACGTGTGCCTATAAATTCCGCCACCACTGCCCTTGCCATCGACAACAACGACCAACTGAGCTAACCCAAGTCTAAATCATATGATTTCCTTTTCTTTTCTTTTCCTTCTCTCGAAAATGTCTTACACACAGTCTTATCACTTACCACTGACGGAGCCATCAAAAATAACGGCCAATCCAATTGATGTGGGCCATAAAATGCGTGCAATCAACGAAGTGGTCGATATAATATCGAGCCCATCATGGTCAACCGTAAACGCAGCAGTGACCAAAAACAATGAACATCAACACAAAGATATTGTCACCGATTACCTCTTAAAACAGCGACACATCCACGAATTTAGTGTTACAGGTACACCAAAACCAGCCACAACCAATCTCAACGACATATTCATCACGGTGAAAACAACTAAATTATACCATGACACAAGATTAGCGCTTATAATCAAAACGTGGTTTCAATTAGCTAAAGATCAAGTAAGTTTTAGTTTATTGGATTTTATTTTACTCGTTACCTTTTTTGTCTGTCCGTTTTGTGTATCAAATTACAATTTGCATTACAAACGTTCTGCTGCGTTGATCTATTTTGAATGCCTTCTTTTCTCTTGTCTATCGCCCGCTCTTTCAATTGCAATTACAATTCAAAGTTACCTATTATTTACAAGACCATTACCACAGCCCGTACGTTCTTTGACTTCGTTTCACGTGAATTCTACACGCTTTATAATTTATTCGAAGAATTTAATTTGTTAATAATAATGCTTTCACGGGGCAAAAATAGCGAATAATAATGATTGTTGGCCGATGCAAAGATCGTGTGTATTCGATAAACTTGTGCTTTTATTTACGTTATTTCATGCTTCCATCCAGCGAGCCGAGGAAAAATTCTGTGTTCGGTAGTTTTTTTTCCTCTTCAATTTGCCCACTTTTCATCGTGAATAATGAGTGGAAATAATTGAGTTGGAACGAGTGAGTGAGAGATGAAGAGAAGAAGAAAAAATAGCAATAGCACATTATATTATGAGATCCGTTTGTTATATTTAAATAATGGCGATAGCTCATAAACAATGAATAGAATTGGCAAAAGAGAGCGAGAACCCTCTGAATGTGCGGCACAATCTCATTTAAACGCGACGACGACGCAACATAAACTACTGACTAATATCAACAAATCATTGCACACAAGTCAAGTGAGTGCCAACGAAACGCATGCATTTTAATGAAAAGGGGCAATTTTCAGTTTATTCACACCACACATCACTTCTTCAATGAAAAATATATAGAGGTGGTGACTTTGCAACAGCAGCAACAGCAAAGAAAAAGTGACACGCAGAATATAACGTACAATTGGCCATCGGCTCATTCTTCTTTCATTGTTTGATTGTCGGAATGATAGTGGTTAGAAACAACGATGAAATGCATCATTCTATCACCCGGTATGCAAAATCGACGATTCAAAGCGCGTGAATAACATGGATAAATAGGGAGACAAGTTGTTTTATGACGATTGGTAAAACAAATAACGAACATGCCGCCGCGCTCAGTTCTTTTGCTCATTATGGATGGCACGTAGTGATCGATATGATATTTATATCAGTTTGAAAATATCAACCAGTCTTACGTGCGTCGCATAAGAATTTCATTCGATTTTTTGTGGTCGCGTTTCAAAACAGTCGACACATTCCGAGCCATCAACGGAATGACATTTTTGCGGACACAGCGACACAAAATATGCGACATTTTTATCTTCTAAATGGATCAAATTGATTTTTGTACATTTGAACGAAGCAAAAGAAAAAAGAACGAAGATTCGCTGAAATGAAGATTGAAAGGAAAAAGTTGACACATTTTTACCTAAACCAAATTTGAACCAAAAAAATAGAACAAAAATGTTTCGAAATTTGACGAAATTCGAAGAAAAATTCTAAGTTTTAAAAACTTGATTGGCTTCAAACTTTGAAGCACAACCGCCAAAACTTTGACATTTTGTACAATCATAATCAGTTGATTATGAATTCAAATTTTATTCATTTGTTGATCATAGCAATTTTTTTAAATTATTATCTCGCTTTTTTTCTGCACAAAAGAATGGTAAATTTACGTTAAACAACGGCTTTTCATTATCTCCGTTCCCACAGTCGTATTGTTTTTTCTCTCTTCTGTTCGCAAAAATCCACATTTTCCTTCTGAATGATTCATTAAAATAGTTTAATCTACAAAAAAAAAACAATTCATTCTTCCACATATTTCATAGCTGAAAGTAAAACAAAAGTAAGCCAATGAAACCCACGCATGGAAATTGCAATGCGGAGCCAATTGTAATTGGTCTGTGTGTATGTTGCGCATTAAATGCATGACAGCCAGTTAGCAGAGAAGTAATAACTGAGATGATATTACTTGGACATTGATAAATTAACTGAAATATGCTTTAATTAAGTTGCGTTCATCTATGCACCGCATTAGAACACGAAGCCATCAAATGTGTCGGTAGTTCAAGCGAATCGAATGTATAGTGGATGTCAATAATTTCTGATAAATGACAACCTTTTCAACGATTTCTTAATTCCTGCACGAAACAAACAAACACACACAAAAAATCGTAAGAATTGCGCATGGCTTTTGTATTTCCTTTTGCAGCACATCAAATGGCATACACTTGAAATGTAAACAAATGCAAGAAAGGAAAAAAAAACATGAAAACAACAAGAACAACGCATAAATTTATGGCAAATCGATACGTTCGTCCTATTCTCAAAATAAATTTCAATACAATGATCGCCCGCATAATCGCCATTATTTTTCGTTGTTGCTTATGTTTTTGGCGTGTGTATGCCATTGTTTAATGGTTGGCACCGTTCATTTACCATTCATTTCTCGCTCTCTCGCTCTGTTTCACTCTTTCGATCGTACACAAAACCGACTTGAGACACTCGATTCGGGGGCCCCGGAATCAGTGTATAAATTCGAATGCAAAAATGTGCAGTTCATTGGTACGGCAGTCAATTGTATGCACCGAGAAAGCGAGAACAACAAGCGAAAAAGGAAGCTGAGAGAGAGAGAGAGAAAGAGAGCGAGCGAGCGAGCGAGAGAGTGCACTGCACACTGTACGAATTGACGATTGTTAATGGATGAAAATATGAAATTGGACAAGAACTTGGTGCTGTGTGTCGTGGCCAAAGAAAGAAGTGTAGAAGCGCGCTCGCGCGTTCACGTTTAAAGGAAGTCAACTATTTATTCGTAATAAAATCAATAAATTCAATCTGTGGTCCATTATTCATTCTGTACATGTGTTTATGCATCCAATTATTATTTTAGTTTGTTTTCGCAGCGCTTCCTCTTTTTATTTCGCCAGTTGAAATTGCGATGCCCTCTCGCTGCATTCGGTTTTGTCGGCCATTGCGAGCGCGCGCGCATGAGCGGTCGGTCGATGTCAAAATTTGTGGCTCACAAATCTTGTTGCAATGTACTTGAATGCTTTTCCAATTTGGCTTTTTTTGCAGATTGTTAATTTTCACGTTTTGTTTATAAATTCTGCCTTTACAATGTGCCGATCGATCGCTAGCTCGCTAGCTCGCTCACTCCTTCTCTCTCTCTCTCTCCCCTCTGGGTGCTCATTGCTACTGCAAAATTCACTGACACACAACTTTATGTTCTATCCGTATTTTATGTTGTGTTCTGTCATACATACACGATATATGCCGGGTATTATGTTACACACTGGCAAGTTGCAAGTACATGAAATTGAAATCTATATAAATAACATAAATATAAATTGATATCAAATCTGATAAGTCGACAATATGTACCCGAGTACAAACACACGGCCCCCTTTTTTGAATTTTACGTTTGTTTCGGGCCGTTTGTCCAATTGAAATATGGAACTTCGATACGCAAACGGTGTACAGATTGTTTGCTATGGCAAGAATCACAGTACACGACGTGAAAAAAAAAACGAAAAAAGCATTATAGTCACCGAATACTCAAACTCTTGCAACTCGTTTGTTCCCGTCTTCGGTTTGGAACATCAAATACTCTCTTTTTTCGTTCATTCCTTTCGTTTTGGCTCCATATTCATATCATGTTTTATGTTGTTATTTTCGTTATCCTCAAAACGACAAAATTCCATAAAATGTGCGCGCATAACGAACGCGATAAATAATAAATAAATCAATTCCATTGCACCGACAACACACTGAATTGAATTGGCGAACGAAAAGTGAAACAAAGGCCTCGGCAACAGCAGCATCAGCAGCAGCAGCAGCAGCAGACGAACAAGAACATGTGTGTTTTTGCAAATTATGTTAATTTACGTTTTGTATGTTCCGAGCTGGCAAACAAAGCAGCGGCTGGAGATTGCGCTTCAAGTGTGCTTTGCTGCCTGGACGCAGAATGTTTGGCACGTAGAAAAAAAGATGAATTAAGTTGCAAATTTGAATTGTATCATTTGTAATGATTGCTGTGTTGCCGCCGCGTCGGTGTTGTGCTCGTTTGCCTTTTTTAAATGATCTCATATGGGTTCGAGACTCTGTATTCGTTTCGGTCTGCAACGAACCAAAAGGTGCAATATTTTGTACGAGTCAAAAAGACAAATGATATGATCAAGAATAAATATAAGATTTTTTTTCCGGAATTCTTGAACTCAACGTTTCGCTTTCGCCCAGTCATCTCTTTCAATCATTTTCCATGCACACTTTAACTGCGGTAACCTTGACTTGATCGACTACTGCATGTGTGCAAATATTTGGCATTTAAAAACATTTTTTATGAACTTCTCGGTCGAGCCAGAGCAATCGAGAGACGGTCTCTTTTTAAATTTCAAAATTTAGTGGATTCTTATGGCAAAGAACGAGCGTTTTCATGGTAAATGAGTGAAGAGAACATCGATCACAACATTTGAAAATCAATCAATGCGTGTATTTCTTCAAAAATAAAAATTCTAATTTATGTGTTTTGACGAAATTGTTATTTTCGTCTTTCCTAATTTGCAACCGTATTTATTTTCGTTTTTTGTCATTCTATACATTCTTTTCTAACTCTGCAGATGGATGAGGTAGATAAAATGTGTGTTTTTCATAGATCAGTCGGAATGATTACATTCGAAAATATTCATAAAATCACCAGATTCACATGATCAGGATGATGATATTCAATACATCATTTGGTGGTGAACGTATCTCGTTCTTCTTTTCTTTATTTGAGAATTATTTTTTCTTAATTAAATGACAACTCAATTTACGGCTAAAATATTCCGAACGAAGCAATAACCAGAAAAATATCATTGGAAGCGATCGCGTGAAAAACGGTAAACCAAATCATACATTGGCCATTATCAATGAGAGCATCTTGTTGCTATCGGTTCTGGTTAATCAAATTAAATTTATGAAAAGAAAAAAAGAAGAAATATACCAATTCACTCGATAGCTTCAATGTGCAACTTTCAATTTAATAACGATAACACGTAGCACAGCAGCCAATAGGGAAAAAAAAGAATATGATATCCAATCAAAATCCAGTTATATCGTCCATATATTTTCTCGAGATTGAAAACTGGCCGAATGCTCAACCATAACACAGCAATTTTTGTACAAGCTCAATCGATAATAATAAAATAGGTAAACGGAAAAACGACAATTAATTCACTCCGAACGACGTCAAACGTCATGGAACAAGGACATATCGAACGAGAAAAAATACGCTGTGAATTAACTTTGATCGAAGAAAAATCGATGAATTGCTCTCGATTTATTGGCGTTGAACATATACGTATGTTAGCTATGCCGTATGTGCCTTTACAATAGACACGTAAAAATAAAAACGAAACAATACGTGCAAGTGTATCGTGTGATGTGTATCTTACTGTGTGCAGTCACTTATCTCTCGGCAAAATTGTGCAAGCATATAGTGCAAGCAGTGACTCGAGAGTTGGTTTTACTGTGAGATTGGTTGCCCATATCACATCGATAGATCTAACACCTAAATCTCACCGCGTATCGAATGGACAGAAAAACCGATCGAATACACATTTTAACTGTCGTGTTTACTTCACTAAATGAGAAAAATTGCCGCATTCGCTTTTGGTATGAAAGCAAACCGTTTTTCTCGCGCATTCTTCGCATTGAAGACTCGAGACGATCGAGCAAGAGAGAAAGATAAAGAGGGAGGAGGAGAAAAGAATGAATGCGTTCATGTTCAGTAGCTAACATTTAATGTGCGCAAAAATGACATTCAACGTGAGAACTGATTTATTTTTCCATTGATCGGACAGACTTTTGATTTTCCATCGAATCAATCGATACCATTTCACTCATGATTCTATTCACTTTGGTTTTTGTATCGTCTATTCATTTCTTCTCTTGTTCATTTGCAGACATGGTTTTTCACCGACACCAACAACCAGTTCTTTCAACACAAAACCAGTAAGTATAATTGAAATAACGTACTATTTTTTTTTCTTCAAAAACGTAGAAATAATTGTGCTTCACAATCGACACGAAAATCCATCCAAAGGAAAAACATTGTAGCGTGATTCATGATTTTCGTATTGGTGGCGGTTATTTTGTGGTGTGAACGAAGAAAAAAAATGAAGAAGAAACAGAGGCCTACAATTTGATTCGGCGCAATATCAAGAAAGAGGTGAAACAGACACACCGAATCGACGTTAAATTCAATTTCATTTTATTAGATGATTATATCTACGATTTATTGGCTTCTCATTCGATTTCGAAATCAACAAATCAATTGGTGCGGTATTTTTTCGGCTATTTACCAGTGATAAAGCGTATCGAGTGGGCCGCCGCCGCCGTAATACTCGCACATCGTCCCGTGTATGCGTTTCTTTTTTTGTTCTTCTCTTCGTTTCTGTGATAGAAGGTTCCTTGACATTCGCCTCTGAATTGTTTATTGTTTTAAGTGATAGTCGTCATTCGAATGAGACGAATATTCATGTCAATTGAACCCGTTTATTTCTTATTGTGTTCGTCCAAAAGAAACCCGAATCGCTTGACTCTCTCAAATGCAAAATAATAAAAAATCACACGGAACGAAATCAATGCGTGTGAATGTGTATGGGTATTTTGATGTTATTTTTTTTTTTTTGTTTCTTCGTTTTCTCGTCATGTGGAATAATAAACACCCAATAAAATTTGGAATGAGAACGGCAAGTAACACATAAAAAAAACGAAATAGATGAAATCGAAAGAAAAAAACATACACACAACGATGCGATGAGAAGAGCATCAACGATGAGAATCAATTCGTTGTCATGGCCAAAACAATAATACACACTACTGAAAGATATGCACGAGAGAGTGAGAGATCGCGCGCGCGAGCGCCCGCTCAAAAGGAGACGAGTGAAAAAAGAGAGAGAGAGAGAGATGACCAAATAAAATAAATTACAACTCGACTCGACTCGACCCAAACCGAATTCGGTACGTTTCGTTCAGTGTGAGCCTGAGCCGAGATGGGCCTGATATATGCACAAGTTAATCTAATTTCCATGTTCCATTATGCAGTGTTAATTTTTCGTGGGGGAGCTAAAGCAAAATATCACAACTCGCCTCAACTCATTCGCTCGGTCGATCGAAAACTAAATTTGACCGCAAAAGACAAAGGTGACTAAAAGGTTTCAATCCAACACACATCACAAATAATTTATGGAAAACCCAAAACGAAAAATACACCCAAATTAAATGACGAAAAAACCGAGAAACCGAACAAAATGCGGGAGAGGAAAACAAATCAACTAAAATAATGGTAATATATGATGATCGAATAAAATGTGTTTATAGGCCATTGCGTTAATTTGAACGTAACTCCTTTGCCAATGCAATGGCAATGCATTCGTGCGATGCCGTCCGTTGACGCTCTACTCGTAGTTAAACAACGAAAAATTCAAATAAAACACAGAAGAGTAAAAAAGATTCATTTTATTGGGCCTGATAACGAAAACAAAGATCTCAACATTTTCACCTCTTTTTTTTCTTATCTTGCTCGCTTCTTTGTGTGGCATTCTAATTCGTCAACAAAAACATATTGCCTAATCTTAGATTTGAATCAATTTTCGATCCGAAAACTGCATTTAACTGCAGTAATTTCGTGTGGATGTGGGACAAAATTAACGCATTTCACAAATATGCTGTGAATTTGATGGACTTTGATCGTTACGAGGCAATTTCGAATTGCCGTCGTTATCGCCCGATGTACACACGCTTCGAAATGATTGAGTGACACACGCTCTAATCCAAATTCCCATGATAATCAACTCATCCTTTGTGCACGTAAATCTGTCGGCTCCGTGATATATGTATTGATTTGAAATCGCCACTTATCTCGTATGAAAGCGATTCGCTGGAAAAATAAAAAAAAATTAGTCAAATAATAATTTTTTTTTTGTTTTGTTTAAATCCGCCGCTAAAATGAGGCTGAAAGCAACCGGGTGTGAGTGTGAGTGTGTGTGATCCATTAGAAGCAATTTAAGCGAATGAGCGCGAAAAAAAACCACCGGGTGAATAATCGAGAATTAATAATTGCTTTAAAAGCCGTTTTATGGCTGATTACAATCGCCGCCACTTTGGGGATTCGGTTAGTTGTTGGCAAAAATGGATTTGTGGTTTATTGATCGTCGTCACTTTATCCGAAGTGGCACACACGCGTGCAGGAGGTAATGTTGACAAAAGATCCATAAAATTTCGGTAAATTGCGGAAAAAACGATACGAAAAAAAAAAATTCTGAAAAGATTTTACATTTATTGAGATGAAAAAAATTGCCTTTCCGGTTGAATGACGACGATGGGTTGGGATTCAGTACGTTGTCACGCCGAAATTGTCATCGCATATTGAAATTCAGGCGCAAACTTCACACATACACACGCACACACAAAGTCGCAACACACGAAATAACGTTTTCAAGTGCATAATAAAATATTTTGAAAGGCATACACAATTGAGATGTGTGAAGGTCTCGGATAAAATGTAAAAGCTTTTTATTATTTTCTCTCGCTCTCGCTCTCTCATTTCGAAAGATGCACCATAAAATGTGAAATATTTACAACGTATTCGGTTTATTGATTTCTGTGCTCATTTCGGCTCGAACACCAAACAAATGAACAAGAGAAGAAGAAAAAGCATCGGAATTGAAGCCCAATAAAACACCAAATTTTATAACATTCACAAAACCGGTGATGGAATGATAGTCCGGGCGTAAATTGATGCCATTTGCTATTAGGAAATTACCTGGAAATACGTATTGCTAGAGCTTCACAACCTAAATTCTTGCATCTCTCATAGATAGATGAATCCAGCACATTCCGGGCTTATTTTTATGATCATTGGATTGTTGTTCGATACTCCAACAGCTTCGTTTTCAACATCTGCAAAAATAAAAGAGCGGACATCTAAAAACAACTGTGTGTTTTAGAAGCGCTTCCACTTTCCAAGTGGAGCTAATTGAATGGCTACAGAGAGAAAAAAATATTGACATTTTTTCTTTAATGGTGACCAAATGTGCGGAGAACATGTGCTATGCAGAGCTTGTTTAGATGATCACATTTTTCGTACGTTCTAGCCACACGTGTGTTTGTGTTTGTGTATGTGTATGAGTGGATTCACCAAATCGGTTAGTTAATTGCGGTTTGGGTTGCCACATTGCAAAATGAAGTCATTAAAATGATAGCATGAATATTTATAAGGTTAACGGTTGCTGGCCGGATTATGAATGGACTGTTTGATTTATCTTAAAATTAATGAACAAAATACACGAGTCGAATGCCTTGATTGGCAACGCTCATTATGCTGTCGATTGGACATCGTTTAATGTAATGATAACAACCGTAATAAACATTAGACTCTTTATATGTGATACGATTAACTTGGCCACGATTTCCAAGTACCACATGAATATTCAAATGGCTAATCCAAATGGCGAATGGAACGGGTCGATGTTGTGACGCACATTGATGTCATTGTTTTGTGTGGCTAATAAATCCGAGCGAAATGTGAGCGCACAAGCCACTGCACAAGCGCATTAACGAACACATTGGCGCTCTTTAATTTTTGGTCACAATTTTTTTTTTGCGGAAATTTCATTTTGGTTCTCGTTTTTCGTCGCATGTTTGGCAATCATGCTTTGTCTTCGGTGTGTGTTTTTTTCTCTCTTCCGTTGATTCGTTCGTTTTCGTATAGATTGCTTACTCATTTTTAATAAAACGTCAACCCCTGTAGTGTCAAAAATATTATATTTCATAAGTTCGCGTTCGAAAACGGAGACAAACAGCGAGAATGCACGGACGAAGTCAGACAAAAAAAAACGCATACGCCACATACTTTGAAAATGAGCTAATATATAAAATATGAATGTCAAAAGTGCAACAACAACGAACTGGCAGGGCACACGAACAAAAAAAGAGCAACGAGCGATGCCTGAAAAAAATATCACCATCAAGCAGCGAACCGGCGAATTATTAATTTCGGAAATTACGATACGACGATGACGACGACGAAACGATCAGGCAAAAAAGCAACAACAAGAACGGAACGATACGAAACCGTTTAGAGAACCACGGACGACATACACACAATTCTGAACCAAGAAAGAAAATAACTTACCAAAAAATTAATGAAGCATAAATGTTTTTCCACCTATCTGCCCCATGCACGCAAGACATCCAAATGCTTTTCGATATTAATGAATTCTGGCTGATTTTGTTGTTCCAAGAGAGAAAACTGGATGCTGACCGCATTGCCCGTGACTCTCTCTCTCTCTCTCTCTCTCACTCGCGCTAACCAAACAAAAGTCCACGGCAAAGCAAAGCAAAAAAAAATAACCCAACAAAATACAAATAATAATCATAATTCATAATTCGAAGAAACTAATAGCGACTAATATACATTTCTCTTTTTTTGATCATGTACCGTATATTCTTCATTCTAGGCGGTCATTTAATCAACACAAACTGCTCCATGGGACATCTACGAAAGGCATTGTGCTGTAAAATGTCCGTTGAATTCGACACCTTTCTCGAAAGCGGAAAAAAGTGAGTAATTTTTTTTTTCTTTTCATTTTTTTCTGTTCATTTTCTTTGACTACATTTGTTCGTTCCGAAAGTTTAATATAAAAATGCATTGATTGCATCGATGGTGTGTGTATTGGGAGTGTGTGTGTGTGTGTATTGTATATCATATCTTTATGTTCAATATAATGAGACCATTCATTTTCGGAGCCGTCATATGCAGCACACAAGTCATAGTGCCGTTGCTCGAAATAAATTGAATTCTCATATCTTTTCATTTATTATCTTGCTATCTTGATAACGATTTTGGAATAGCATCAAGTTGATGCTGACGCTTGGTGATTGTTATGCGTGCGTGTGTTGCGCGCGCAAGCGATCACTCTTTCTCTGCACGACCACAGCAGCAGCCTGATATTACACCAGAAAAAAAAATTATGATAATGTTATCGATGGTGCGCACGCTCGCCATCTATCCCATCGAAACAAGTGATAGAACAACAAACTCAAATGATAGAGAGCTCCTATCAAAACCCATTTATTTGTCATTTTTCCATTTCAACTTTTCGTATTTTGTTTTTCTTTGTTTCTTTTTTTCTCTTTCTCTCTTGCTGGTTCGCTCTTGCTTTGACCCTATGCTGTTCGTGCACATTCGACCCGGTCAAATAATATATGATTAAATATTTATCTCGATTTTAGAATATTGTGTCGAAAACTACGCAATAGCAACACTTTTTTGTTGAATGTGAATCAACAAATCTCGCGACACGATCCAAGAATCGACCCACCGAATATTCATAATTTATGTAAATTATCTAATTAAAGGTCTACCTTCTCTTTGGATTGCAAATCGAATGTGTCAGTGGTTATTCTCTTTTTTTATTCTTCATCTGTTCTTTTACTGGTTTGGCCAACGTTTGTTTGCCATTTCAAATCGTTGTCAATCGCATATGAAGAGAAAATATATCGAGCGAATGAAAAAAAAAATGGATCGTCTTCCATCGAAAATTGGCCGATGGAAAAAAAAAATCGCAAACCAAAATCACTGTGATGTGCCGCACAGCATCGACAGCAGCAGCAGCCGCAGCAGCTCCATTACAGGAATTCAATCCATTTGACTCTTTTCTTTTTCGTCGTCGTGGTCTTGCTTTATAATTGATTATATAAAGATTCTTTGCTCAACCAGAGCCACCAAACAGAGACACCGGCCAACAATCGCTGTCTCTGTCTCAGTACGAAAACTTTACCGGCCGTATATCATTTTAAATCTCTAAATTTATGAACCGATAACCATTAAATTTTAGGCGTTTGTTGATTGCCTTTTCGGTTGACTTTCTCTGACATGTTCAACGTTTTTCAGCCGGCCCGGCCTGACTTCTTCAATGCAAAGACGAACATAAGAAGAGAAAAAAGCGTAATCGCGTCTCTTCAAATGACCAGAACATGTGGAATGTCATATTTTTTCGTCTCTGGACGTTGTCATCGGCCGAACGAAGGCTGAAGATGTTACAAAAAAATTGCAAATTTCCAAAGAATTAGTATCAATTTCGATTCTTTCGTTACACTAAACCAATATAATAAAAAAAAGAAGTTGTAATTCGGTTTTATCTCATAATTGTTGGGCTTTGTTACCGTATTCGATTTGCCGCTTTCTATCGGTTGGGCGAGCAGATTGAGCATCAAAAAAACATGGATTTGTGTAATTAAAAATGTGAGAATTTCGAATGCCGAATTATGATTTGAGATAAATTCAAATCAATAGGTATAGAAAGGTGTGAATATCCTGTATACAGTCATAGCACATCTTCCTTCCTATGTTCATTTCAGATGTGTTTTCAATATCGATCATAAAACGGGTGAAAAATTTAAATGTTCTAATCGATGGGACGGTGATCAAGTGAAACATTCATTGGCTTTTGGATCTGAATCAGATTCGCAGAGCAATTGGAATTGGAGTAGCTTGAGATTATTTCTGCGATACAAAAATTTGTTCAATGGATTTCATACTAACCGTATGTTAGCCAAATAAAGGGATTATATTTGTAATCAATTACTTTTTGTCGACTTAAGATTTTATTTCGTCGGAACTGTGTACAACGTGTTATTCGCTGGCGATCATCTTATATGTCGTAAAAATGCGGAGCTCTTTCAATTCGAAACCCATTTAAATGAATTAATTTGATTTGGAAAAAAAGCGAAAGAGAAGGGCACCAAACCACACTCTAGCTGTAAATGGTTAATTCTTATTTGATGCGCGCAAGTGTTGCGGCTTCTGAAAAGTTAGAGAACGAGTTTCTTTCATTCTCATGTATATTCATTTGTATAATTTGGTTACGGTCAATTTCTATTATTGGATCTTCTCTTGATTGCATTTGGAGAAAATGCAAATTTTTCGTGATGTGGGAATCGAAAACAAAAAAAAAATGGTTCAACTCCTGATTCGAACATGTTATTAATATCGAGGTATTCCGCTATGATCAAGAGAACTGGTCATCAAAATCGCTGAACCGTTTTCATCTATTCCACACTGGTGCCGTTCACATGACTCAACGTAATTCCAAAGTCTGCGGAAAACAATGATCATTACGGACAATTACTTGCCAGAATTCGGAAAAACATCTCGCTCTCACTCTCTCTCTCCCTCATCGAAGTTTTTCTCTCAGATCTCATTCGAATCATATTGACAGTCATAGAACAATTAAATGCAATGAAACTCTCACAGGCCTCAGAACAAAAGTCAATCCAAAAAACAACCAATGATGTGAGAAAAGAAAAGGCAAGTGAAAAAAAATGCTTATTAAATAACTCCATCCGATTTCCCATAAAGTAATTTGTCGGCATTTCGTCCTCTGACCGGCAATTCAACGTGTGTGCGAACACTCGCGCGCCGCTCTTGCTCCATCGACCGCCTTTCGGTCGAAATAATAAAGATTCAGTTATGAGATAATTAAAGAAATCAAACAAAATACATAATAATATGTAATTACCTGACTGTCGAAAAATTGTTCAACGATTTTTTTTCTCGTGCGTTTGTGTGTCTGTCTTTGGTTCGTTCCCTTTTGGGAAATACAGAAATTTTTGTGAACCGAACACCACTAATCATACGGAACAACGTATGTCGATCAATGCGATGATAGGTCGTCTCATTGCGTACATGTCTATTCTTTTGATTGTTTTGTTCGACTTTTTTTCCCTTCTTTCTTTTCACACACGCATCATGGAATACAGAACATGAAAAAACCTATTCGATTCAATTGTTTCTAACATCAGAGAAAATTACGGTGCGCATTGTGTTGTTTGCACCAAATTAGTTAATTTGCTCGTAAAGAGTTCTGTTGTTGTACCATACGGAAATGTGTTGAAAATGGAAAAGATCATTTATCACCTAGATTTGAGTCTCTCTATGTGTCATTTTCCATTGAATTTCGGTTTAAGCTGTAGTTTAGCCCAAATACAGAGTGTATGTAACAATGGAGCAGAGTAGAATCGCATATATGCATTGGTGCGTGCACAAAATACGGAAATATTATGCAAGTCTGCAGCGATTGCTTGCAAATCTCACTAAATCAATTTTTTTATACATTTACTACAAGAATGAACTGGTTATCGCTGTGGCATTTCTGTTCAAAAAAAGACAATGCGCGCTTGCCGTTGACTTGCATGAATGCCGTTTTCCAATGAAAAATAATTAATAAACAGTATTTTAAAAGAAGGCAGCAGCCGCAGCAATGGCATAAACAAACCAGGAACAATGGCTGAGACAGAAAAGCCTACAAACGCGCTTCGCATTCGAAGTGGCACGAATATACATATATTTTGAATAAAATTAAGGTCCATTGTTATAAATTTTTCGTGGTTCAGGGCAAAACGAAAGGAAGCCCAGCCTCAGCTATACTGTCAACAGAATTTTTGTTTTGTTTTAGCTACTGCAATCTTCTAGTACACAAGCTAATGTTGAAATCAGTTACAGAAATTGCTTTGTTGTTGTTCTTTCTCTGTTATCACAAGACAAATTTACTTGCCCATTTCATGCAAAACACGAACTAAACGATCAAATGGAATGGAGAAAAGGGAGAGACATTGAGAAAGTTACTAATCCCTTTGTGGTTTCGTTTTGACATTGGCTTTCTATGGAAAAAAATCAAACATTTCTATATTTTTTCCATACTCACACACACACAAAGAGTGTTTTGTTTCTTTTGTTTGTCAGCCACCTCAAAGCCGACGCGCAGTTAGTGACAGTGTAAGTTCGTTGAACGTGATACAGTCGCACCGTGGTGAATGATGAAAACCAAAACATAAATACCATTTTTCCTCATAAATTTTCGCGGTAAAACCGTATATACACTTTATGTGCCATTAAACAACCGCCTATAACATGCTCAACAATTCTTTTAACAATAGCTAAATTATATTTACAAAACAAAATATATATATATACAACTAGATGTGTAAGTAAGTGTATACGCGAAACAATTACAATGAAATGGTCAGATAATCTTTAAAATATGCAATTTTTCTGAATGAGAATAACAACAACGAACCATTTTCGTTGCCATTTTAACCTTATATTGTTGTATTTATGGAATCGTTCGTTGTTGTTATTCTGTGTGTATTTGTCTGGTTTTTTTTTCCTGTTTTCTTCACTCGTTGTTGGCATTATTTGTTTAAGTCGCGAGCCAGCGAAACGATCGCTCGTTTGCTGAACGAATCGCTCGACTTTGGGCTCGTGTTCATTTGTACAAATCGTATGTAAATCGCGTCAAATGTATGTATCTAATCGACTCATCATATTTTTGGCCGACGGCAGTGAACGAAATCCAAAGTTCATGTACATAAAAAATGGAGTAATTCGTATAAGTGCAGTTTTATTGGACTGGTTGTTGCTGCTTTTTTCTTTCTTATTCTTCTTGCACTGCAATGGGTTTGTTTTTTTTTGTTGCATACATTTAAAATCAATTTTAGCCCGATTATCGATATTCGATTGGTCACATTTCAATTGCCAAGACCAAATATTGCCGGGCAGA